TTGATTGTAAGATTCTGTAGAGAAAAGCTCATCGCCCATTTCACTAATTCCTTTTACTTACTGTAAAATGGGAATTCAATTCTATTTTGAAAAGCGGTAGAATCTGAGATTTAAAACAAAGTTAAAAGCACCTTAAATTTGATATTAAACTTTCGTCGTGTGTAGAATCGAGTTAGAGATAAGGCCCAATTGAAGAAGAAGAAAAAGAGCTGGTCACACACTCTAGCTTGAGATAATTTAGTTACCGTACTTGCCCGTTTCGAATGATTCGTGTTTTTGTTCCCTTTGATATTAATTCTAATGAGCCTTGCCGATTTTTGGGTTCATTTTGAAATTATATTTATACCAAGTGGCACGTTCTCGTGGCAGCCTTTAGTGTTATCGTTTTTCCAAAACGGATTTGGGGTTAGGAGTAGACGGTATATTGTTATATTTTTGTTGTTTTTATTTGTCCATGAGTTTATTAAATAATAATAAATAGTTTGACGGGACAAACAGTTTCATCATCTTTATTTTACACCAATCACTTACAATCCGAACATTTTTTCCACCCACCTTGTGCAGTTTTAGAAAAATGGGATTATATTCAATCCGCCCGGTTAAACTTCCTATTGATTGTCTTCTCATGTTTAAAATAGTACGTCGTATTATGCACAAATCGTCTCTCCGAACCTTCTGACTTATCCAAGTTCCAAAATGTTGCCACTTTTATAATGTTGTCTTTACTCGGGACTCTTGAACCCTTTTTCCTTTTTTCTGGTTGCCATTGTAACTCTTTCCTTTTGGAATTTCTTACATCTCTTGCGTCCTTGAAAATAGTGTTGGGGAAAGGATAACAACAGTGTCATATGTATGACCTGACCTGATTTTTTTTTCTGCAGGGAAAACCCATCATGGGCATTTGGAGATTTGGTTTTATATTCCGAGTAGTGTACTCCTCCAGCTAAAACCCCTCCTATGGAGTGTTTTCCCATCCTGGTACTGTCATTTTGACATTCCTTCAAGGCGGCACTTGTTTTCTTCAACAACAGTAGTCTCGTCCCTTTCTCTATTTTTCATTATTTCCGTAACATGTTCCACTATCTTCTTCCGTTTCTCCTAACTCTGCAGCATGGTATATATTAAGTTTCCTTCTTCCAAGGCATGTCCAAGTTCCACCTCTAGATTTCTCTTTCCCACTGGGGGCAATGTAGCATCGGATGACCAGGTTCATCTATTTCTCCGCAGTATCTGCAATCTTCAGTTCATTTTCCTATTCGCTTCAGATACAGTCCGAAACTGCCATGCCGCTCAGAAACAGCGTTAGATGATAATTGACTTGAGAGTGTCTGCAGGTATGGTTTCCCTGAGTAGTTCGCCATAGACTATGTTCCACAGGATCGCTCCAAGTACCGAGCCCTGTGGCACACCAGCGTAGACCTCCTTTTCAAGCCCATCTGAATCAGGCCATCTGTTTGTGAAGTAATTATTCGTGATTTGCAAGAGATATTCGGGAATTTTCCTTTTTCCCATGGCAGCTATCACCCGAATTATACGTATTTTTCATGTTGCCAGAACCCGGTTTTTAAATTTGTAAACGAAAGTTTCAATTTTTAAAAGGGTCCCGGTATTGAAAAACGGTTTTTTTTATTTGAAAATTTGCCAAAAAAGTAAGATAAAAAATGTTCCGTTAAAAATTAAAAAAAAAATTAAATTGTATTTTATCGAAGAAATGAGGTCGAAATCCATAAGAAAATTATCTTGGGTTAAATTTCAAAAATTGAATTTACAATTGGTCAAAATTTTGAAAAGAAATTTATTTTTATTGAAACATTTTGTGTTTGAAAAATTTACCATTTGCTCTAGGGGCAAGATTAAAAATTTTTTGTTTGAAAGTCATTTTTGTTTAAATTCGAAAACATTTTCGTGAGCGACTCTAGAAAAATTGAAGGAGTTATCGAAGAAATGAAGCGAAACTAACTTTTGGAGGCCCAAATCTATAAGAAAATATCGTTATCTAAATTTCGAAAATTGGCCAAAGTTTTTATATTCTGAAAAATTCGGTTTTTGAAAAATCTGCCAAAAAAAATCCAAAAAATTCTGGTATATAAATGTCGTCGTGCTGATTTCAAAAACATGGCGTGTTTATGCTCTCAGGGTAAGATTAAAAATTCTCGAATTTGAAAATATATATATTTTTTTTAATAAAAAAAATGCAATATTATGTTAATAAACGTTTGTGAAAAAATGGAACAACCTATCGAAGGAATGAGGCCAAAACTAGCTCCTGGAGGTTGCAATCCATAAGAAAATGTCTTTGCTTACATTTTGAAAGTTGTCGAAAATTGACCGAAATTTTTATAGAAAGGATTTTGAAAAATCTGCAAAAAAACAAAAAAATCTGTCACAGATCTCGCGGAGTTGATTCCAAAAACATAACGTGTTTATGCTCTCGTCGTGAGATTAAAAATTTTAGGTTTGAAATTTTTTTTTTTTAATTAAAAAAATTGCAATATTTTTGTGTGATATTTTGGAAAAATGGAAGGAGCTATCGAAAAAATGGAGCGAAACTAACTTTTGTAGTCCGAAATCCATAAAAAAATGTCTTTGGTTAAATTTTAAAAATTAACCTAAATTTTTATAGGAGATACTGAAAATTTTTGTTTTTGAAAAATTTGACAAAAAAAATCCAAAAAATTCTGGTATATAGATTTTGTTGTGCTAATTTCAAAAACATAGCGTATTTATCTCAGGGTAAGATTGAAAATTTTCGATTTGAAAATATATACTCCTATTTTTTTAATCCAAAAAATTGCAATATTTTAGTGTGATACTTTAGAGAAATGGAAGAAATGGAGCGAAACTAACCTTTAGAGGTCGAAATCCATAAGAAAATGGGTTTGGTTAAATTGTGAAAATTGATCAAAATTTTTACAGGGGATACTAAAAAATTTTGTTTTTGAAAAATGTTGCCAAAAAAAATCCAAAAAATTCTTGTATATAGATTTCGTCGTGCTGATTCCAAAAACATAACATATTTATGCTCTCAGGGTAAGATTAAAAATTTTCGATTTGAAAATATATTTTGTTTTAAATCTTTTGCCCTCTCAATCTTATTTTTCAGTATTTGTTCATATAACTTAGCTATCGAATCGTGTAGACGTATAGGTTACAAACTCTTGCTTCCCGTGCCAAGTTTTTGAGACTTTGGACTTAATACCAAATTGGCACTGTTCCACGCTCTCGGGAACTCCCCTTCCAAAGCATTCAGTCATGACATCAGCCATGTATTGGGGACATACAATCATAAATCTACTGCCATTTTAACTATCTCAGAGGGTATTCCATCGGGCCTTGGCGTCCTCTTGTTCTTGATTGTGTTAGCAGCAAACCGTGTTCCCGTTTCGTTGAGCAATGGGACCACTACCTCGGTTCTTCTTGGACATGTTTTTGTTCTGCCTATCGAAAATAATTCGTCTAGTATCTCGGTTCTAATCTCCTCATACGTCCCTGTCGACATCTTCCAAGTGTTCTTTCCACTATAATCTTCCAGGAAGACGGATTGTTCTCTATGTTGCTTTCTTGCTATCATAGGGGCATTTCTTTCCCTGGTGGATGCTTTCCATTTTTCAGCAATTTCACTATTCCACCAACAGGTTTGTCGTCCAATTCTTCAGACACTCTCTTTCGGGATAGTTTTGCAACACGCCTCTGTAATGGCTTTCATACATACTTCCGGAGTCTTTCCAGAGCCTCCCTCCAGTTTTTCTCTCAAATCTATGTCGTAGTACAAAAGTGAATGGTCACTGAGCGTTTCGTCTTCCAGTACGCCCTACATATTCACTTGGTTTTTAGGTCTTCAGTACCAATTGCAGTGGATTTGTCTTTTTGATTGAAGACGATTAGATTCTCTCTTGCTATCCGGCAGTGAGGCATCTCTTAGGCCTAGGGCAACGAATGCCACTTATTTCGTTCAATATTTTGTCGGTATTTTCCATTAGGTCATTTGGTGCTATGTACATAGTAAAAGAATCGGATTTCATTTATCTCGACATGACAATTCCTCCTCGATCAATAGTTTCTTCAGTTGAAGTTCTTGGTTCCTTATATTAATACTGGTCTTTAGTACCCTATCTTTCAGCCAGTTGTCGGCTGTTCTAATGATGTTTATAATAATAGGTTCACTCGATAATAATATCCAAATCCACCCGTGCCAGGGCTATTGCCTTCATAAGGTCGTGGGACCTAGAACCACGATTCAGATTGATCTGTAACACTTTTTAACACTTGACTTGATCTGACCTGACCTGACATGACCTGACATGACATGACCTGACCTAACATGACCTGACCTGACCTGACCTGACCTGACCTGACCTGACCTGACGGACCTGCCGTGATACCCCAGCGTTTGGAAATGGGAAGGGGTATACTCAGATCATTATTTTTATGTGCAGTAAAATTTTATGATGAGGTTATAAAGGGTTAAAGAAGACAATTATCGAGATAATGACCATTGTAAAATGACCGTGTCGTCTTCATTTCAATCAGTAAAAATAATCATTGGTGACTTCAGTCTTCAGATTTATTTCAAAGCAACAAACTCTCTTTTTAAAAACAAACTGTAGTAAAGCTTAAAAATCTACTTTTTAATACCTACGACTTTGTCAAAATAATTTTGACATTATAGATTTCACCTATACATATAGGGAGTTGAAAAAAATTAGTTCAATGTATTTTTGTGGCGAAATGCTTGATATTAATAATACTCTCAAAAAGGTATTAACATCTTCCTAAGATCGAATTTTAGAAGAACAAATTGGTCGAATACGAACTTGTCTGGCCCCGAATTGCCAGACGCACTTAAGGGGACCCACCGCGCCCCCGAATGGTCCTAAAATCATATCAACCACAAACACCTCTTTCAAAGCATCTCTCCTCGGCGAAAAAGTAACAACCTTACCCATAAAACACTCCTCCGCGAGCGTCCGCCCCCGATCTAACGCCCCTTCTGCCGACAGATCCGCAACCTGGGCTACGGCGGCAAGACCTGCATGGACTCCCCCGCCCGCAGGAGCGACCTCCACAAGCCCGTCGGCCTCTACCCTTGCCACCGACAAGGCGGAAATCAGGTAAATTCCGGGTGCACCTCTCAACACGTTTTTCTCTCTCTTTACAGATCTCTGTGCACGGACGCGAGCTCTGCCTCGACTCGGCCTGCAAACCCGAGGACCTGCACAAGCCGGCAGGCCTGTGGCCCTGTCACGGCCAGGGCGGGAATCAGGTAAAAATCGTCGCCGCCACCTGAGCACTCCAGATCGATCATTCCCGCTGTAAATAAATCCGGGACGAGATTGGCCGCAACCCGACCGACGGAACAAACACGAAAAACCCGAGGGTGCCGCTAAACGATCGTGTTTGTTTTGGGGGTTGTTTGCGACGAGATCGTGTCGGAAGTCTGGTCTTTTCTATTCAAAATGGGGAACGTGTTGAGCGTCCCACTAACACGAGCTTATTAACAGGGATGCTGGTCTTGCGTGAAGATTTGTCTAGTTGGGTGATTGGATAAAGTGGTGACAAATTGGAAATGACTGGGAATTCAGACCTAGTTATCGGGTTTAGTATGTCAGTTCAAAAAATATATTTTTTAATAAAGGTAATTTAAAATTTGCGGAACCTACTTCAAATGTATTGATTTTGACATAGTTTATTTCATTTTCTTATATTCCCGAAATGTTTTGGCAGACATGTATACTAGGTAAATGTTAAAAAAATTGAAAATTAACAACGTGTCTGTTTAAAGATTCTTTAATTACATCTTTAATGTACCTTTCATGTACATATAAATACATTAATTTTTTATGTGAGTAATTTTGAATTTGGGGGCGATGTTGTCAAGTTTAAATTTTTTCCTTTACAATGTGGGAAATCAAGAAAGAGATCTCTAACCACAAACATATAAACTTCGCAAATGTTTCAAAAAAATAATAATAAATAAAAAGTTGGTGATGGAACATCCTTGTGTTAGTCTTTTTTTGGATGAAAGTACTATATTGTCACATATCAAAGATATGTATAAAAAATATCAACTGTGTCAACAGAGGTTAAAAAACCCAACAATGTTACAGTGACAAAAACTTAAAGATCTTTGACTTCAAAACTTCAAAATTTTCGAAATTGACAACATTTTTCTATCACATTTTTGTAAATTCAGATATAGATTAGATTCAAAGTCAAAAATGTTGATCATGTGAGAACATTAAATACATTAAAAATATCGAAAGTTTTAAAAATAATAAGATCAAAAATGTAAAAACACCCGACGAGAGCTTTAGAAGAATTATTATCAGAGAGCTCAAAATATTCACAAATGTCTAAAATATCGTCAAACTCTTTTCAAACGTTCAAACGACCGAAAATGGATAAGAATTTATAAATTTGTTTATAACTGATTTTTCAGAATTGTCGAAATCGACAAAAATTTCCCGACACTTTTGACAATTTTCTTAATTTTTGTGTTAAAAACGAGAAAATATGTTCACTGTTCAGCCTTAGTTATGTCAAAATTATTTAACATGTGGGAAACATATAATACCTCCACAGATTTAAACATAGAAATGTCAATAAACAGAGAAGTCAAAAAATGTCAAGAACCTAACAAAAACTCGAAACAGAATTCAATCTGACTATATTTTTGTGTTAAAACTTAAGAATGAGAACATCTTGGACCATGTCCATGGTATCAAAAATATCAGCTATGTCTAAAACATTAAAAGGCCAAAAAATGTTACGTCAAAAATTTAAAATACATCAATGTTTAAAACTTCAAAATTGTCAAAATTGACAACATTTTCCTGGCACTTTTGACATGTGAGAACATTAAGTATAGCAAAAATATCGAGAGCTTTAAAAATAAAAAGAGTAAACATTTTAGAAAACACAAAAATTTTTGAAGAATTATCTACAGAAAGCTCAAAATCTTTTATGTATGGGCTTCAAAAATTTCTAAAATATCGTCAAACACTTTTCAGGCGTTTAAACGATCACGAACGGATAAGAATTTATAAACTTCAAAAACAACGAAAACTTTACAACTGTCAAAAAAGTTCAATATTTATCTCCAAAACTGATTGTTCAAAATTCTCGAAGTCAACAACAATTTCCCGACACTTGACAATTTTCACAATTTTAATGTTAAAAACGAGAAAATATTCACTGTTTAGCCTTCGTTATTGTCAAAAATATTTAACATGTGTTACAATTGTCGACAGGTTTAAAAATAGAAAAGTCAAAAAATGTCAAGAACCTAAAGAAATCTTGAAATGAAATTCAATCTCACAAAATTCTTAGTAATGAAACATTTTCGTGTTAAAGTTTAACAATGAGACCAATATCATCTTGAGCCATGTCCAAAGAATCAAAAATTTCAACTATGTCTAAAACATTAAAAGGTCAAAATTTAGTAGTACACCATTGTTCAAAACTTCAAAATTGTCGTTTTTTGACAAAATTTTTCTGACACTTTTGACATGTGAGCATTTTAGGTACAGTAAAAAATTTCGACAGCTTTAAAATTAAATAGCACAAATTAAAAATAGCACGAAAATTTTTGAAGAATTGTTTTCAGAGAGCTCAAAATCTTTTATAAATAGGCTTCAAAAATTTCGAAAACATCGCCAAATTTTTTTCAGGCATTAAAACGATCTCAGAGAATTTATAAACTTTAAAACAGTCAAAAAAGTTTAATATTTATGTCCAAAGCTAATTATTATAAAATTTTCGAAATAGACAAAAATTTCTCGACACTTTTGACAATTTTCACAATTTTGATGAGAAAATATGTTCATTGTTCAGCCTTCATTAATGTCAAAAATATTTAACACGTTCAAAATAGAAAAGTCAAAATATGTAAGAACCCAAGGAAACCTCGAAATTGAATTCAATCTGACAAAAATCTTGGAAGTGGAATATTTCTGTGTTAAAGTTTAACAATGGGGACATATTATCTTGTTACATGTCTAAATCATTAAAAAGTCAAAAATATTAAGATTACATCAACGTTCAAAACTTCAAAATTGTCGAAATTAACAAAATATTCCTGACTTTTGACATGTGGGAAGATTTAGTGGTGTTAAAATTCGAGAGCTTTAAAAATAAAATGAACAAAAAAAAAAATACGAAAGTTATAGAAGAATATTTTTAGAACGCCCAAAATCTTTTCTGTATAAACTTCAAAAATGTCGAAAACATTTTCAAATTTAAAAAAGTAGAGTATTAAATATCAAAAGCTTATTCTTCAAAACTGTCGAAATCGACAAAAATTTGACACTAACTAAAAACGAGAAAATTTGTTAAACCTTCATTAAATCAAACAAATTTATCTTCTTAAAAACATTTAAAATGTTAAAAATATGGATAACTTTAAAAATAGGAATAACAAAAAATGTTAAAAACCGAAAAACAATGAAAAGTTCGGAGGTGAATTATTATCAGAAAATTCAAAACTCATTCAATTGAAAAAAAAAGATAAACATTGGAAATTGTCGAAATGGACAAACATTTTCTGGTGCTTTTGATATGTTTAACAATTTTGATTTCAAAATCTACAAAATTTAATAGGTAACTGAAAAGTTTACAGATTAGAGTTGGGCATGGAAATTATTCTCGTATCTTTGATTAAACTGCAAATGTCATGACCTCATTTGTATATCGATGCTTTGCCTATTCGACGTTTGCAGTTTAATCAAAGACATGACAAATATTTGCAAATCCAACTCTAATCTGAAAACTTTTTATCACCCGTTATAAAATTGTCAACACTGTGAAAAATAATTAATATGTATATTAAAAATGTCCATACCTTTAAAAATAAAAAGATCCAAAATGTTAAAAATCCAAAAAAAACTGTTCGAACTTCAAAAGCGTCGAAAATTTTGTTCATATTTTTTGACGCAGACATAATTACCTATGTTCAACATGTCTAAAACTTTAAACTTACTGAAAATGTCTCTTTTAAAGCCTTCAAACGCCCGAAAACTCGTAACAATTTCGAACTTCTAAAAAATAGAAAAATTTTAAATTTTATCATGGTCATAAAAATCACAAATTTTTAAAAATCTTAGTCATTAAAATTTTAGAAGTGTCAAAATCGACAAAAATATATTCGCTTTAAGGTGCAACATCAATTTTGTATTATCAAAGTTAAATTATTGTAAAACGTTGTTACAAAATTTTGAAATTTTTCCAAAAAATTTGAATGTCTAGGGTTAAAAAGTATGGTGTTTTATAGATTTAAATAACACTGATTTTTCTAAAATTTGGAGATGACGTCATTAAATTGATCATGGGAATGATTAGACTTTTCGAGCTTCATATAAACTCCAAAATTTTTAACATGTGACGAAATTAAATATATTAACGATGTCCAGAACGTCAAAAATGTTAAACCCTTTGAAAGTTGAAAACTTTAAAAAGAGAGAAAAAAATCAAAAACCTGCAAACAAAAGGTTTAAATTTTCTGTCGAGCACTCTGTGACATTTATGTACTAAGAAAAACGCTCAAAAAAATGATAAATCAAAAATATTCTAAATATTTATGTGTTATAAAATGTGTTAAAAAATATCGGAAACAATAAAAGGACAAAACTTTTTAGTATCAATAACGCCAAGAGAAGCGTAAAAAGTGAAAGAAAAAATTAGAATTCTTGAACATGTTAGAAAATCAAAAAAATCGAAATAATAAATATATTTTGACATTTTTGTCCATTTCGACGTCAACACCTGTGAAACCTTCAAAAGAGTAAAACAATGTTAAAAGTATTTTTATTGTATTTGTTATTTTTAAAGTTTCAAGTTCACATTATTGGAGACAGTTTTGTCTCTGTCCTTAAATACACATTTAATTTTTTTTTTTGACAAAATTTTAATTTTTAATTTTAAATTTGTACGTTTTACATTACTATCCCTTTTATTTTAATACTTATTTCTTTATTATTGTCAAATTGTATATGCAACAGATAGTAGCAATACACGACAACATTTTCTACAAAATACCGAATAATGAAATTAGTATTATTTGTAAAACAAAAATTTAGTAACGTCTAATAATTAACCTAAACATGTACAATATTAG